ATTTTCAATGCTGAAAACTCATTGAATTTGAACCCTTTTCCCTTTTATCTTCTCATTCTTGCTTCTGCTAATGAATTTCAGGGAAGCCATGAAAATCATCATAAAGGTAGAATTTGTTCATGGTTTCACCATTCAAGAAAATTGCACGAGTTTTGTTAATATCCATGGGGCGGCCATATGCATATAGGATAACTAAATGGGTATCGAGGCCAGACTAGGCATACATATATAGCAAGTGCAGGATCAATAGTTTTCCATACTTATAAATAACAAAAGGGCATTCCTCGTCATTAATTTAATATGGTTGCTCGCGTCCATTGTGAACTTTCACAAGAATCGATGACTGCATCAAAGGCTCTCACGAGTTGTACCAAAACTGCGCTTCACTCCAAGATGTCCAGTTAACTGAGAGAATCAACTAATTCCGAGGTTCATCCATTACAAAAAACAAGTCATTTATGGGAATTATAGGAGGTCACGCAGATCCAATCCAATCTCACTTTTGCTCCACAAGGATCAAAATCAAATAAACGCTCATTCTCGTTATGTCAAGCGAAAATATACTTCTAATTTCTCAAAAAAAATAACGATCCATTGAACTAAGCATAGATATATATTAATTGTTAATAAATCGTAATTTGAACAACATAAAATTTTGAACTTTATATGTTAGACGGTTGAACGATTAATTCTTAGTCTTGAATGCATGTGTTTGGCACCCATTTAGGGTGTATTATAAATTTTGGAATAGCGATTGATAGAAAAATATGTTGTTGAAAAGTACTGAAATTTTTTAGATTTATGTGTAATATTATTTTGCCCCTGTTTGGGAGCCATTTTCAGCAAGATTTTCAGCAAAAAAATAACCGTTAACTACAATAGGTGGGTCCCGCTTGTGAGATAGCAAGTCAAAAATGGCTGCTAATTTCATGTTTTAACGGTAAACAAATGAATTTTTTGGGTTGAAAAATGGCTACCAAACATGTTCTTTATTTGGAGAATGAGTGATTATAATTAAAAATGAGAAAATTTTCAAAAAAATTTAATGGGTTCAATAAATATGAAGTTGACATCTGTGATCACAGTACATTACCTGACTAATCTTTTGTCCAGATGGAAAGAGAGAGAGAAAATAGCCCAAGTTATGTTATCGCCAACCTAACCAGCCAATTCTCGAATCAAACGTGCATACGCGTCAAATCATCCATTGTAACAAAGACAACGTCAATGATCAACATCAACCAAGAAAATTGTTGGAAGACTGTGTGGGTAATATTATATCCTTCAGCACAATCAAGAAAATCTAAGTGAGAAATGAAGAACAGAAACAGGGGCAAAGTTTCACTCGAATGGATTGTGATTCTGTGCATTTTCTGCTTCGCCCTTGGCACGTTTTTCAGCAACAGGTTTCTACTCTTTTTGTCTATAAATTTTCGATTTATCTTTCATTTTTTCCTCGAATTTCACCATATTAATGATTCATGCATTGAATTCCATGCACTGAGTCTGGTTTCACTGTTGTATTTATGAACTTTAATGGTGTTTGAAGAAAAATAATTTTATTTATGAATTGGTATTGAAGTTTTGGATTTTCTTGTTTACAGAATATGGGTTGTTCCCGAATCAGAGGATCAGAACATGCCCATTAAACGACGACCAGGAATTTTGGCTGCTAATTCCGATGACTGTGCGACAGACAAGGTTTTCTTCCTTAATAATATGTTCAGTTTTCAATCAAAAGCCAATTGATCTAAATAATTTAATTCATTCATTTACGTTTGCCAATTTCTATTGGTCTTTTGAGTAATAAAAAAAATCAAATTTATTTTGAACACGTTTTAGTTTGTTTTCATTATGGAACTATCGAATCTATTTCAGGATAAGGAGGATCTGATTGGAGAGATTAGCAAAGCCCATGAAGCAATCGAGTAAGTGCACTACATCACAAATATTCAAAACAAAAGAAAGACAAAGAATCTCTTAAGTCGTCTAATTGCTTAAAAATCCTGGATTAGTTATGAACTAGTCAATGTTTTGTTAATTTTCTAAGTCGTGTAATTCGTTGGAGGCATGTTAGATCATTGGACTCTTCGATTGCTAAACTGCGTATGGAGTTGCCTTCAACAAAGAATTCCCGCAAGATTGGGAAGTTTGAAAACTTTAGTACCGTTGTTGTGCATCCGGGCAGCACTGAGACGAGGAAATCGACATTTATGGTTATTGGTATAAACACAGCATTTAGTAGCAGGAAGAGGCGTGATTCAGTTAGAGAAACTTGGATGCCTCGAGGTGGTGTTACTTCATTGTGTTCTTTACGGCATGTTTTTGCCCCGATCTTTTGTTTAATGTTGCTCTAAATTTTTTGATTAGGTAAAAGTTTACTTCAACTTGAACAAGAAAAGGGGATTGTTGTTCGTTTCATGATTGGCCACAGGTAATTAAGTTTGTATAATGCCGACTAGACTTGATCTAAGTGATAATTTTTTATTCAGATAGAGTTTATCATTTTTATAACTTGTAGCTCGTCTTTAAAAATACATCAAGAAATCTTCCCTCAGACTTATATTTGAGTGATGCAGTGCAACATCCAACAGCATTTTAGATCGAGCAATTGACTTGGAGGACTCTCAGCATAAAGATATTCTAAGGCTTGTAAGTATAAGTAGAGACTCGATATCCTCTGATTACATCAGATTCAGGAGTCATTTCTATTAAGTGCATGTTTTGTTGGCTTAAAAGATTTACTTATTAGATTACTAACTTCTAAAGTGAAAGGAAAATTTTTGGTTAAAGTTGAAAATAAGTTACTTAGCCCCTGTTGGGTGCCATTAAAATATCTTATTAAAATTTAAGTCAAAGTCAACAATTAATTTTAACCATACGTTCCATGGGACCCACAACTTTTCATCCACACATTCCATCAACTTTTATCAAACTCTGATTCTAATCTCCATCAAACAAGGGCTTATTTTAAAAGTAACTACTATCCGGTTGTCAACATAAACAACTTATACTAGGAAAAGAGTAATGTGTTTGGATATGCTTAAAAGTAAATTGACTTCCTTTTAAGGTTAGCCAAACAGTTAAGTACATTATTTTGCAGGAACACATTGAAGGATATCACGAGTTATCAGCTAAGACAAAATCATTCTTTTCTACTGCAGTTGAACAATGGGACGCGGAGTTTTACGTTAAGGTGGATGATGATGTTCATGTAAATTTGGGTACATTTGCTTTCCTTTTCTTTCCATATCTTGATCTATAGACTATTGGGAACCTGACCATTCTCAGATGTAATTCATTTGAAAGTGGTTTAAAATTTTAAGATATATGATGATCAATGGTAATGCAGGCACGTTAGCTGCAACTCTTGCTCGTTACCGCTCGAAGCCTAGAATATATATTGGATGTATGAAATCGGGACCAGTTCTTCATCAAAAGTAAATCCATATACATAACACTCAATGTTTGCAATGGCCTATTATGCTTGTGCTAATTTACATTTATATATCAGATGTCATGTTTTCATATTAAGCTGTTATCTCCCGATAGGAATGTTAAATACCATGAACCCGAGTATTGGAAATTTGGAGACGAGGGAAATAAATACTTTCGACATGCAACTGGGCAGATCTATGCTATCTCAAAGGATCTGGCAAAATACATCTCCATCAACCAGTAAGTTATCTTCTCTCCAAACAATTTTTCCATTTGTTCTCTTTAAATGAAATACAAAATGAATGTCTTGATATAGTAATGGTTGCATTTAGTCTTTTGCATAGACAACCTAATCTGCTTATTAAGGATCAGATGAAAACTTAAAAAGCCACAAATAATGGTTGACTGACGGATAGTTGTTTATATTTACCTCTCTCATGATGATTTTTCAGGCCTATTCTGCATAAATTTGCTAACGAAGATGTAACACTTGGAGCATGGTTTATCGGTCTTGAAGTTGATCATATTGATGATCGCAACATGTGCTGTGGAACTCCACCTCGTATGCAGTATTCTTTGCTTTTTTCTGCATATTATTTAAATAAGCGTCGTCATTATTGAATTTTTCTTCTCGAGTCCAAATAAGAATCTTAGTTTCTGTACAGAATGTGAATGGAAAGCACAAGCAGGTAATGTTTGCGTTGCATCATTCGACTGGAGCTGCAGTGGAATTTGTAAATCTGTGGAAAGAATCAAGGATGTTCATGCCAAGTGTGGTGAAGATGCTGCCACTCTTTGGAATGCTCTTCTCTAGTATTACATGGTACGAGAATTATCATCTGTCATCCTTGCAGCAAAATACAGAGAGAAATTGAAGCAGCAGTTTGATGCATGGCACTGAAGATCTATCTATATAGTAAATCGAGTATGTTTTTTTGTCACGAGGAGAAGTACATGGTGACAAATTTTCTTTAGATTTTGAATTTACAATTTGTTGTGATGAATTCTCATACCAAGTCCACAGTATCTTTCATCATCTGTGACTAGCTAATCTTGGGCTATTTTAAGTAGATAATCTGAAACTTAATTTTATGTCTGCAAAACAAAAGGCTGATTATAAGTTTGGTTGGCTATCAACAAGGCGAATAAGGGACAACTTATCCAATCATCGGCTTAAATCACATGGAATCACTATAGTTTGGTATGTCTACAGATACAAATGGGAGAGAATGCTGCTCCGGTTCCAGACAATTCATCAGTAAAACACTGAAGTAAAATAAAGAACTTGGAAATGAAATGTTCAATTTATAATCATGAACTAGAAATGAACTCCTTCAGGCCTAACACGATTATAAATGTGCATGTTAAATACACATGAGCCATTCACCGGGGTACATATTATGTTCGACCAGATTGCAAATATTTGACAAAAATCAGGGAGCAGGTTCTCCAACTTTACAACTGATCAGCCTCTAGTTTTTCTTTGCTGAAAGTTCAAATGCTCATTCGATGAATAGTGCAAGATATTTTACTGTATGTGCATATTTCCTCTTAATCTATTTCTAATTTCCAAACTTTAGCTTTTCAGCTGGATATATTCCACTCATTCTACCTTCTTTCCGTTGCTTCGTTGATGAGAACTTTGAACTGCCAAACTTCTGAGTCTGATCAAATGGCACAGTATCTTTCGCATTATCCCCTCTGCTTCTGCAGTCATATACAAGGTGCGTCAACAATATTGACACAATAATAAAGGAGCTATAACTCAAAGATGTTTACAAAGATAACTAAATAAAGTCATATCGAACAGACAAAAGAATACACACCTGACGTGCAACAAGAAAAATAACACACCAACAATGGCCGTGCCTTTAACAACTGCATTCAGAAGATGCTTTCGACCATGCTTCACTGGAGGTAGTTCAGGACTTGTATCATTTCTTCCATCTGAAGTATTTTCTGCCAAAATTTCTACATTGTGTTCTTCATCCTAAATAGGTAAAAGAGTAAATCATTACAGGTGACTCGCAGACAAATAGAGTGCTTCGGATATAAAAAACTGTGTGACTTTTAGTTTATGACCTGAATTCCATTCTCAGAAGCATAACAAGTAGTGTCATCACGACCGGATAGTTGGCATTTATGCTGAGATGAAGATAAGATTTCGGTAGAAATATCCAAATTTTTATGTACAAATTCAGGTTCTAGGAAATTACTCGCTGAAGTGCATGGTTGCTTTTCAAACTTCTGTCTTTTGGGTTTCACACAATACAAACAACTCTCTACCCTGCTTGCCAGCCTCAATTTCCATTGATCGAGAAGTGTAAATATTTGTAGTTGAAGAAGTGTCTACACTAACGTTTGTAGATGAAGAATTATCTGCGTTAACATTTATAGATGAAGAATCTTCCACATAAACATTTGAAGTTGAAGAATCCTCTGCATCAAACTGGTCCTCAAAATCCAAATTAAGCATCCGGCCTAACACAGAACTCATGCTAGTGGTGGATGATACTTCAATATCTTCGTCGTCAGAAAATTTCCTTTGAAGTCCATTCTGAGTGCTCCTATTTCTGGAGGTTAGTCCTTGAGAAATCGACTTTAAGGAAGAAATCAAAAAGACTGTTTTCTCCATCGAAGAGAAGAGGACTGCTGCCATCAGTTGTATGGACAATCAAGTCGGAAAATGCCAAGTAATCTGAAATATAATTTCTTCCGTCTCCACAGATGCTTGAAGTATCTCCTACCACCGAATCATCATTCTCAAGGGCAAAGTTGATATCAGATATACCCACTGCACCATTGTTGTGGCTATGTCTCACTTGATCATTTTTTATGCAATTAGACAACATTTTATCGAGTAGATGATCATTTCCAACATTTTCTGAAGAAAGCAGTTTTATTGGCTCGAATGAACGTGCTGATTCATGCGGGTCATGTTCGAATTCCTCTATACATGGGTATTTGATATCTGATTGTAGTACATTTGGTCCTTCCAAATATTGTCCAATTTCTGGATACGCTGCAGGTGAACTTTCTGAGTCTGGATGTAGTTCGGCAGTCGCATCAAACTTGTTGGCAGATGAAGAAAAAGAATGTTCTTCTACATATCTGCTTTCTGCCTCATCTGACTCTTCAGAGCGAGAATCATCGTATCTATCAGACAGTGCATATAGATTTTTCTACATTGCGGTAGGAGGGCAATAGCAGATTAGTGATTCGAAATTAAATATAATTTAAGCAAAGATAATTCTCCTTCAATTTTTATTTTTATTTTATTTTTTTCCCCTTGGTTTTTCAAATTGCATTGGCTTGCTTGAGTAAGGGTAAAATTGGAAAATAACGTAGTAAAAGCCTCAACTAAAACACTGGTAGAAATCAAACAAGCCAAATTTTGTGAAACAGATGAAGTAGCAAGTTGCTGATAGGCGACACCAGTAACTATCTACTAATTCTCAAGGGCAAAGTTGACAAGGGAGATATCGGCGTACCTGTTTTAATTTTGTTCTGGAACCTTTATGCAAACTAGAACTAGGTGAACTTGAAAGGCTGTATTGTGATGATTCCAAGCTTCTTCGAATGCCTCCGACCATATCAGTGGGCATGGCTACCATGTACACTACCACATCAAAGTCCGGAACCTAACAAGAAATATATATTTGATGGATTTTAGTGCGTGAATAGAAGGTTTCAAACAGATTTTGCAAAAATATAGGAAGCTGCTTAAAATACTGGCAACGATAACTAGGAAATGGATCTAGTAATAAGATTATAGAAATCCTAGAGATTAATCATGATTGATATATGATTGATGTATGATTAATCATGATGATATATAATTGATTAAGGCATCGTTTGGTAACCATTATTCTAGAAAAAAATGTATTTTTTGTGTCAAATCACACCTTTTTTGTGGTTGAAAATGAAGGAAAAGTTATTGANTAGAAAAAAATGTACTCTTTGTGTCAAATCACACCTTTTTTGTGGTTGAAAATGAAGGAAAAGTTATTGATGTGATGGAAAATATTATTTTATTGATGAATGTGTGGTTGAAAATTAGTAGAAGAATGAGAATGAAAAAAAGATTGGATACCAAATAGAGGCTAAATATTTTCATAACTTAGGTTGATAGGCTAATTTCTTGTATCCTAAATTTAAATTAGAGATTATTTTTTCCTTTTTTATTTAGGTATAATAAGTGTAGACAATTCAATCAAGAAATACAGAAAATTCTTATTTCATTCTTCATGGTATCAGGGCTCATTAAACTCTAACAAGCAATTCGACTCGATTAAGACTCAAAAAATGAGTATACAGATTTCAAGATTGGTCTGCTCAAACGAGTCACCATCTTACGGGAATATGTAAAGGGATAAAATCGCACATCGAATAAAGATGAAAATATAGACAAAGTTATAAGGGTTTAGGCTACTCCTCTTAACAAGGTGGCCTTTTAAAATGAAACCCCAAAATCTTAACATCGTATCAAAGATTTTATCCTAAACCGAACTAACAATGGAGGATGCCTACGTCAACCTCCAAGAATTGATGATTTTGGAAACTCACATGAGTCAAATCGAGAAACAACATGGAGAGGAAAATATTGAGTCCACTCTAGGCAACAACACCTCAAATTCAGATCAATTGAAAAAAATAATGGAGATGATTGCTACCCTTCAATCCTCTGGTCGGTCATAAAAAAATATTCATTCTAATTCCTTAACCCATACAGGTAATCCCTTTAAAGCCTTAACCACCTCCCGTACTCATACTCCCTGGATTATAGACTAAGGAGTATCTGACTATATAACTGATTCTTATAATCTATTTTCAACGTATTCATCACGTACTGGAAATATGAAAGTAAAAATTGCAGATGTATTCCTTTTTCCTGTTGCGGCAAAGGAGGTATCCGTATCTCTGATTCTATCACTTTAAACTCGGTTCTCCATGTTCCAAAACTATCTTGTAATCTGTTGTCTATAAGTCAGTTGACTAAACACTCCAATTGCTCTGTTAAATCTTTTTCCTATCATTGTATCTTTCAGAATCTGTCATCAGTGACAATGATTGACAGTGCTAAGGAGTGTGAGGGACTCTACTACTATGAGTAGGCTAAAGTGAGTAACCAATTTCAAAATGTTATCTTTAAATTCCCTTTTTCCTCTAAGAATGGTGAACTCCTATTTTGGCATTCTAGGATGGGTCATCCTAATTTTTAGTATTTGCGACATTTATTTCCTACTCTTTGTTCCAATAAATTGTCTCTTGATATTCAATGTGAATGTATTGTAGATAGCGTTCAAAATGGAGAGCCTAGAGGGTACAAAATTGGAAAAAAATTTATTTTCCCTCAGTCTTATACATGTGGGCCTAGAGATATGA